GGTATATCATTTAAAAAGTAAACAAGAAAAAATTTTAATTGATAAATATTGTCAGGATACCTCACTGCACTTAAAGTTATTGTACAGTGAGGTAAAGAATCTTTGCAATATAAAAAAAGAAAGTAAAGAAATAATATTAAAAATGGCAACGTTTGATCTGAAGGTCGCGTTAAGTCTTCTGCCAGTCATGACTGACAAAGAAGAAAATACGAAAGAATTAATTGATAGTATTGAGTACTATGCTACTACCTTAGATAACGAATCGAATAAAAAATTAATTTCTTTTATTTTAAAAACCAGGCTGTCTCAATCGGGTAAGCTAAAATTATCTAGTAAATACGAGAATATATCAGAATTACTGACCGATGTGTGCAAACAATTATTACCAAGAAAATCAGCATCGGCTATACAAAAGAAACTTCAAACATGTAAGCAAAATGAACGCTGTTGCTGATTTTGGCAAGGAAATTTCTGAATTGTTCGCGGATTCAACTATTACCCAATCGGACGGAAATTCTGATCATTATAATGTTCTGCGCCCGTTAAACGAAAATTACGCAATTAAACGGTTTGCCGACGGGCTTAGAAACCGTAGAACAAGTACAATAATTGCAGCGCGTGATTTTAATACACTAAAAGACGCTATTCAAGCAGCGCAAGATGAAGAGATCACGACAATTTCCTCAGCGTATGTAATGGGCATGTCCGCTCAACCCCGTGGATTTACACCCCCCCACCGAGCAGCGAAAGCGCGCGGAGGACACAGAGGATACGCGCGAGGGCAGTCCGCCGTAAAGGTAAATACACCAAATTATTATTACAGACGGCCACAGAACTTTTATCACCCAAGAAACCCAAGAGTGTTTTCTCGTGGAAACTCGTACAGGGGTAGGTATCAGGGCAATCGCCGTCAATTATCCCATAGGAATGTGAACTTTATATCCACGACAGGTGACCCCTGCATGGCAACGTAACGTGACCGTGATGAATCAGAGCAAGCAAACGCGTCACATTTGAATCATTTTTTTTCGAGTATGACTATGTATTTATGTGCAACAGCTTATGTAAAGTATGTATTAATTTGGACAGGCATGAACACAACAAAAGCGAATGGCTAATCGACACCGGCGCTTCGATTTCAGTTGTCAAGCACGATAGAGTAAAATGTTTTCGCATTCCATTCCACAAAGAAAAACTTTAGGTCAACGGCGTTGGTGGAAGCGTACAGTCAGAAGGATATATTTATTTACAGCTCAAAATTGATACCTACACTATAAAACATAAATTTTATGTATTTGATAAAATGCCATTCAAAACTGATGGAATTTTAGGGCTAGATTTTTTAACAAAGTACAAAGCAGTTGTAGACTTCGAATTAAATGAATTAAGAATTTGTAATTTAGAGAGACCTGTCACATTACCCATTACTTACTTGAAACAAGATAGTTCATATTTAACAATTCTAGCAAGAAGCGAATCAATTCATTATGTGGACACGAAGTTAAAACAGGAATGTGTCATTAGTTCTCAAGAATTATGTCACGGAGTATACATTGCTAACATTATAGTACAGCCGCATAATGGTAAGGTACCTTTTAAAATAATGAATACACGAAATGAGGATGTAATTTTGAATTATTTTAATTTAAACGTTTCTAAGTTAAGTGATTATTATTTATGTCACTTTAATAAGTCGAAGATGAACGCAGAGAGGGTCAAGTCTTTGTTTTCTTTACTAAAATTTGAAAATCTAAATGAGGAAGAACAAAAGTCTATTGAAAACATTTGTGCCAAATTTCCAGACGTCTTTCACGTACCAGGAGATAAATTGACAACGATTTCATTATACGACCATACTATTGAATTAAAGCCACATACTACTCCTGTTTACGTAAAGCCGTATCGTTTACCACAAAGTCAAAAATCGGAAATAGATAAAGAAATAAAAAGTATGCAAGCCGATGGAATAATAGAGGAATGTAGGAGTGCCTGGTCGAGTCCATTGTTACTAGTACCTAAAAAGCTAGATTCAACGGGTATTAAAAAATGGCGTGTAGTAATTGACTACAGAAAATTAAATGAAAAAGTTCAAGATGACAAGTTTCCTCTGCCAAATATTTCAGACATTCTAGACTCGTTATCTGGTGCAATGTATTTCACTACTTTAGATCTCTATCAAGGATTTTATCAAATAAAATTAAATAAAAACAGTCGACAATACAATGCATTCACAACAACCAAAAATCAATATCAAATGACTAGATTACCAATGGGACTAAAAACTAGTCCCAATGCGTTTTCTAGAATGATTACGATTGCTATGTCGGGATTTAATTACACCCTAAACAGCCTATGGAAATAACCAGTACGTCAAGTTATGCATTTGAAAAGATTTATTTAGACATATTTGGTCCTCTGCCTACAGATAATTTTTTTGCCGGTCATTCTTACTTTCTCACGTTACAGTGCGAACTATCAAAGTTCATAGAGGCATATCCGCTACACACAAAAGATGCTAAATCGGTTGCATCTGCTTTTGTAAATAATTTTATTTTGCGTTTTGGCATACCCAGGGAAATTGCAACAGATCGTGGATCTGAATTCATTTGAAACACAATGGACGAAGTTTGTAAACTATTAAAAATTAAGAAGCTTACTTCAACAGCGTACCACCACCAGTCCATAGGAGCGCTCGAGAATACACATAAGACTATAGGTGCGTATTTACGTATTAATTGCCTTAACCGAACATGTTCGTAAAGCAGCTGGCTGTCGTTCTGGTGCTTCGCGTACAATAATACGGTACATACAGAGACAAGGTACACGCCGCATGAACTGGTATTCGGAAAGTCGTGCAAATTGCCGAACAATTTAAATTCCGGTATAGATCCTTTATATAACTACGATAGTTATCCACATAAATTAAAATATAGATTACAGGTTGCACAGCAAGATGCAAGGAAAAACTTATTAGGAAATAAGTTAAAACGGAAGAAGGCCTATGACGTATATGTTAATCCAGAGACGTACACTAAAGGTAATTATCTGCTACTTAAAAATGAAACAGACAACAAAATAGATAGTACATACTCGGGTCCATTTTTAATTAATGAAGATTTAGGATGTAATGATAAATAATAAGGAAGAAATAGTCCACAAAAATCGCACAAAACCTTATATTATGTAAAATACATAAGTAAAGTAGGTACCCACATAATCAATTTAAGTACCTTATTGTATGCAAAATAATAATTATTATTATAAAATTAATAAAAATAATATATTGCTTTTTGACTACTAAACAAAATAAAATGTAACTAACTATATTACCCTTTGTAACTATGCTATAAGAAAATATATGTATAAGTATTTGTTTTGTATAACGATAGAAATAAAATAGAAATTATATAAATTTTATTTTATTTTTGTAACAGGGAAAGTGTAGTATAAGAATTGTTCTTGTTAAGCACCATCTATGTTATTACTTATTATATGCAGTGTTAATCAAGCATCGAGTTGTCTCATTCGTCTCCGTCGTACGCTCTCTCTACAGCGGTTCTACAAAGAAGTAACTTCTTTCTCTTTCATACAGCATAAAAAGCAGTAACTGCTACCTCTTTCACACAGTACGAAAACAAGATAAGATAAACAATAGAAACTATTGCCGTTATCAAATAGCGTTTTCTATTGTTTGACATCTTGTTTTTACCATTTTGTTATTTAATATAACTGGAAATGCTAGGACTGCTCAACAATGTCGGTTTTATTTCAGACACATATCTTCCCAGGCAGTGTTGGGCGTTAATCAATTATATTTCAATCTGAAATTCAATCAGATTAAAAAATCAATTCAATTGAAATCAATTGCAATTGCGACGTGTCGCAATTGATTTGATTGCAATTGATTTTAATTGCAGTTGATTTCAATAGAATTGATTTTAATTGCAATAATTTTTTTTAGTTGTTCGAAGAAACAATTGAAACCAACAATTAAAACCGAAACTACCGAATAAAAGTGTCATTACGAATATGGATTAGGGGGTGGGTTAGCGCTGGGTTAGATAGTGGGCTCACCCACCCCCTCACCCACCCACTCACTCAAAATCGTGTCCGCCATCTTGGATTTAGAAATGAGTGCCATATTTGTAATGAGCACCCCAAAATACCTTGAAAACGATACCCAACTTGCCATTATTTGAAAACTCGTGCCCGCCATCTTGGATTTAGAAATGAGTGCCATATTCGTAATGAGCACCCCGAAATACCTCGAAAATGATACCCATATTGCATTTACTTGAAAAGTCGTGTCCGCCATCTTGGATTAAGAAATAAATGCTATATTCATAATGAGCACCTCCAAATCCTCGAAAACGATACCCAACTTGCCATTATTTGAAAAGTCGTGCCCGCCATCTTGTATTTAGTAATGAGTGCCATATTCGTAATGAGCAGCCCCAAATACCTCGAAAATGCGACCCAACTTGCCATTATGTGAATAATCGTGCCCGCCATCTTACCTTCTAACACACCTCCTAACTCAAACTTTAGGTAAATTAACTCCCTTAATTCTGTAGCAGTAGGACGTGTGGATTCTAAACCTGCGATAGAAGGATGGATTTCGATATCATTACTAGCACAATGTAGTCCACGCCGAGTGTGTAATGGAAGCTATAACAACAAATAATCTATTTTCGCTTTGTATAACAACCTTTGATATAATTTCTAAGGATATAAGCACTCACTGTATATATACAACAAAAGATATAACAAAAAAAGGCATAATTTCAATGTGTATAATGAACCTTCAGTATAACAAACATTACATATAATGATTAAGTGATATAAAAAACAAATGGTATAAGAAGTACCAGTATAATGTATTAAATAATATAACACAATATTTCGTTTTAGGAATAGTTGAAGCACCCTATATTATATTGATAAGAATTTTTATTTAAATAAATATACAATCGCAAAATACAATTGTGTTTGTATTGCTTTAAGTGCTTTTTGTGTTAAAAAATATATTTATTAAAACTTTAAATAGAATATTTAGTTGCATATACTATTGCTAACCTAATCTAAACTCACAGGAGGAGGTCGAACTAACTAGCAAATGCAAACAAATTCTGTTCTGGCACTTGTCTGCCACTGCCGCGGCACGCTCGCTGCGTTCTTTCAGCTCGCGCAGCTTTATCATATACTAACGTAAACTAAGCCCACAGGAGAAGGTCGTACCAACTAGCAAATGCAAACAAATTCGGTTCTGGCAGCTTTATCATATACTAACCTAACCTAAACACACAGGAGGAGGTCGAACCAACTAGGAAATGCAAACAAATTAGGTTCATTTTCCATTGCACCTGAACACCACCGGAATTATATTAATAATACATTATACTCAGTAAATGTTATATCTGAAGTGTTTATATAAAATGAACATTATGACATAGGTATATTAGATTGAAATTTGTTATATCAATTGTATATTATACCCCATGATCTTTATATCATGCAAGAATATGTCAAATGTCTGTATACCATAAATTAATTATATCTGTTGAACATTATATTAACTAAAAATATGTCATTTGTTATATATTACAAACTGCACCCGTCCACGCCATTTATTATAGGAATCCAAAGAATTTGAAAAGTAAGTAAGATATGACTTTGTACTAAAAGACCCTTAGTTTTGAAAAAAAGCAAATTATCTACTAAAATCTTAATAATTTACCTTCATCTTGTCATATGATTGAGGATTAAGATGCTTGTCAGTCAGTTTAATGGAGCGGGCTTTCCCTGCCCTGCCGTCCACTCTGTACAGCTGCTCCAAGAAGTTCCATTGGGCTCGTGCTCGTTGTCCGTCAAGTAGGAGATCCTTTTTCTGGAAATTGTTACGAAAACATTTTAATAAATGTGGCACATCAAAAATATGGTAGATCACATTGTTATTAATCTTATAGAATATGTTATTTGGATCAGTGCTATTGTTTTGTAATAATTCAGCATGAGTATCTGCTGTCAATGATTTTATGGTTGCAACATTGGCCGAGCCTTGATCACTCACAGTGGCTCGTCCACAAAAACCAGTTTTGAAAACAGCAATAATTATTTCTTTAACAATGTTCTTTAAGGTAAATGTTTTAACTCCATCTCTAGCAAAATAAAAGGCAACTGGAAATTTCCATCTACTAAACAGGCCACGTAACATAAATACTAATGCCTTGTCTGCTACATTGGAACTCCTTTGTCCAGAGCCAAGATCTTCAAATCCCTCAATTACCCCAGTGTGAAAATTAAAATGTAAATTTTTATTAATGGCCATTTCATCAAAAAGTAAAACACATTGTTTATCTTTCTCTGACTTGCCTAAGGCAGCATCAGCCAAATGTTGAAAAATAAAATCATTGACTCCAGGTCGCAACGGGACATTAGTCAACAATGAATTTAGCGTGGACTTGGATGGTAGAATAAAAAATTTTCTCAAATGAGCATAACATTTTGGACTTAACTTTGATAAAGAAAGTGAAAATATTTTTTCATCACTGGTGTATCTGCGGCCGTGAGGTTTCACACCTGTTAAACAGAGCTGTGAATCTATTAAAAGCTTTCCAAACTTGTTCAAAGATTTATATTTTTTGATGAATTGTAATGTGTTAGGACAACTAATTAGATTGGATTTGCGCTTTATGTTATAGTACTTACTTTTCCACAAGCGTATCTTAGATTTTAACATTTTATTGTTATCACGCAAAATTTCTTTCCGGGGTGTTACTTCCGATGGCAATAAGCGCACTCTCCTAACTATATCATGTCTAAGACTACGGACCACTTTAGAATGTGTACGAACTGGGGTAGTCAGGACAGTGTGAGAATCTTGTGTAACACATTCATGAGAAAACAATGAAGGTTGTATACTAGAGGGCCCGGGGTCGACACCATGTGATTGCACATTATCTGCCTGAGAATCAATTAAAAAAGGTTGAATACCAGAGGTCCCGGGGTCGACACCATGTGATTGAACATTATCTGCCTGAGAATCAATTAAAAAAGGTTGTATACCAGAGGGCCCGGGGTCGACACCATGTGATTGCACATTACCTGCCTGAGAATCAATTAAAAAACTAGATGGTACAGACATACTCGGATTACTAATATCATAAGACAGATCGTCAGTGGGAGTTAAATGCAATATAGGTATCGCATCTTTTGTCAGTTTATTTTGTTCGTTTATATGTTCAGGATAAAAATGTTTAGGGCAGAATCGACAATTTTGAAGTTTCATTGGTTCACGGTCATAGTTTTCCAAAAATGGGCATGCTTTCTTCCATGCCTCCCATCGTGTTTTATCGGTGTATGGAGCAAGAAAAAGTTAAAATCCTTTCGTCGACTACTACACCCCGGAATAGCGCATCTGTGAGACATTTTAGAATAAAATAACGAGCAAAAATGTATATGGAATGGAAAATAACACGCGCACGGGTATAGCTATTTAAACCGCAAATAGACCAGGATAAAACAAATAGTTATTGTGAATTATGTAGTTTGATGATTAGATAATAAAATAAGACTTAGCCATATCGTAGTTATACAAATCCGTCACGATGAGCACAGTAAATCACAACACAAAACAAAATGACGACAAAATTAGACCATAGCCGCCATGTTTTCTTCCACTTTCCTTCCGAGTGACGTTAGACTGACATATGAATAAAAGTGTGTAACACACACACACATTGACACAACAGCATTTCCTAATAGAAAGAGAAAAAAAAAGTTGGTGAAATGTACAGTTCCATGAGTGCAAGAGGAAGGGATAAGTCGGCTAACGAGCGGCTAACGAAACAAACCGAATGTCCTCGGTTGAGTGGGGCTGGTTTTTGTTGTGTTCAAGTTATAATTGCCATTATAACTTTCGTCTATCCAACTAACTAATAACTTTTTTTTACGATTTTCAAACCATTTTTAATACCTGATGTAATGCAATAACCGCTGCATAGTCTGCGACACCAAAAATAATCTAGATAAATGCCGCATGTGTACGTACTTCGCATGTCCAAAGTAAGTGAAATTCACTGTTGATCGATTTTGAAAACAAAGGGACTGAAATTATTATGACCTTAGCAATATTATAAAAATATTCTATGGGTCGTATTCTAGAACTCTACTCAATGCTCAAGTCAGGACTTGAGTGTGATTCAAAGCACTAGAAATCATACTCAAGTGCTTGCCATTGGGGTCGTATTTCCTATGCTTGAAATCATACTCAAGTCTGCTCAAATCCTAACTTGAGCATTGAGTACAGTTCTGGAATACGACCCTAAGACTTGTCTTGTAAACAGTTTGCTTACATTCTGTAATAATTAAAAAGTTGACTTTAAATACAAAGTGTTTCGTTTATTTTATCCGAAAAATAAAAAAGTATGTTCAGACAAAAATAAAATAAATACTATCATGTTTGACTACACATAAGCATAGTCGCAAATGGCAACATTACGGTATGATTTTGACATATTCTGGTTATGGTGGACGACAGACGTGGCTGACCGAAGTTTTTGTGATGTTTTTCTTATTGTAAGCTAAATATCTGCAAAAATGTCAGATGCTATTGTGCCTAAGGGACAACCCATATCTGGGGATCCAGAAAAGAAGGGTTGGCTGTTCAAATGGACGAATTACTTGAAGGGCTATCAGAGAAGATGGTTCGTGCTTTCCAACGGGTTATTATCATATTACAGGTAGGTTAATGCTAATAATTCGCTTGCTCTCCTTGAATACAAATTGCTAGCACCTATGATTTTATGTTTCAAGCGTAATTTCTCGCATTACATCATAGAATCTTTGATGATAACGATGATTTTTGGCCGTAATGACGTCTCGGTGTTTTTACTATTTTTAGACAATATTTCTATTAACTTTTCGTAATTGGCCCACCTATATGTTGGTACGTAAATATATACACTCATAGTACGCAAGTAACATACAACATGAATAGTTTGCAGTACATTTTTTATTCTGTATTTTTCTTATCAGATGTAATTGACTTTGTTTAAGTTTATTAAAATGTTTTAAGATAAAGAACTTTAGCAACAATGGGTTGTTGATAGTACAGTGCGTTATGGTTTTTGAAATATCTATTTTACATCTTAATTACTTTACTGTTATGAAAAATAACAGGTGGCTTGATACATTAATCTAAATGGTGTCTTTTAGATTAATGATTCTGATTTATTTTTGTTTTTCTAATGAATTTTTCATTACATAATTTAACATATGTTTAATGTAAATATTTGAATGATGTGTTTTATTGTAACTCTTATATACACATGACAATTACAGTATTATTTTCTAAAGTCCAAGTTTGCAAGTGCATGGACTTATGTCAGGAAATGAAAGTACTTATTCGGATCTAAGTTGTGTATGGTATATTTTGTCCGTTTGCCAGAACAATGTGTTATCTCTAATACATTGACATATTTAAATAGCTTGTTGTTCTGGCAAACGTGTGATTTGTTATTTGAAACAAACCAATGTTTCGGACCCGATTAAAGATCCCATGATCACGGCTTACTGAGATGGTAAAGTCATTAACCACTTATGTCTAATATTAATGCAAACCACCCTATTTGTATTTTTTTTCTTCTTACATCTCTCATTCACGGCTGATATGTTTTCCTGTTTAAATGTAAAGTTGATATTTTGTTAAGGCATAACTATCTGTACTTGAATTAACAGATGAGTGAGAAATTATGATGCTAAACCATACATTCCTATGTAACTAGTAACTATGCAAACATCATCTTGTGTAAAATTCAATTAGATCCAACTTTAATAACTAAGACTGTACAAGGATTTAATACATTTTTATATCATAACATTGCATTAACCTACAGTAAATAAACAAAACTATAAATGTTATATTAGTATGACACAATAGCTTTGATAAATTGCTCATTAACTTCCCTTTACATTGTGTTTTTATTAAATACTCTATGTTTACTGGATAGCATTATAATGTAAGTTATTTAATATGAGTCATCAATGTTGTTTAAAGTTCTTGGTATCTGTCTATTACTTCAGGAAGAACTCTGTAAACATATTTGGGTTACTTCACAAAGATAACACTATCTTATTGACCACTAAAAGTTTATTTACTAAGTATAAAGTATAATTGTATAGTATTCCTTTAATTTAAGATACATAGTATGTTACTTAAAAGGAATTAATCTTTATAATTGACACTTTCAATTAGCATTGTAAATATACTGGTTTTTATTTATACATTTTCTCAAGTGAGGCATACTTTTTAAAAATGTTTGAATGCAGTATTAATTATGTTTAAAGACAAAATAATGTATCCTTGAAGCTTAATATATGTACTTTTTCTCTGTCTCACATAACCATATAACAACCTGTATATTGCTACACCATATTGACTGCCTCGATGGCTGAATGGTTACCATGCTGGACAACCACGTAAGAGGTCCTAGGTTCGATTCCCATGCCGGGAGAAATTTCTATGGCCTACATTTATTTATCTTGTGAGTTTGGATGGAATTTGTGGTTGTCTTATGTGTGTGTCCGCCCGCATTACACGGTTACCCAGTACTGGGCTGAGTGTAAAAAAAGTGTCTCCCAAATCTCTGTAAATAGAAAGAAAAAAAAAATAAATTATTCAGCACAAACTTGTTAGATAATATAAATATATAAATAGAATACTAGAAATAATACTAGAAACAAGTATAATATTATAATTTTATGCTTAAAGTGTATTGCACTGAAAAGGGCCCAACTCAGCAAATACTTCGGCGGAGCCACAGCACTGGCTTTCAGTGGACCCTTTTCGAAATGGCTGATTTAAAAATAAAATAACAAATAAAATTAAAAAGAAAAAAAAATAAAAATAATAAACTTTTCATATATTTTTTAGAAAAGCGTTTTATTCTGATAAGAGAGCAATATCGAGTTCTTAGGTTTTCGCGATTGTTACATAGAGGAAATGAAACTATTTTTCCGGATTTAAATCGCATATATTTCAAGCCGTCACACCATGGGACCCAATGATGTTATACTTGTAAATGGGACCTTTATAAAGCCCGAAACGTTGATTTGTTTGAAAAACACAAATATATATGCGAATTAAAACCGGAAAAATAGCTTAACTCCCTAAGGGGCAATAATTAAGCCATTGATTGTCATTTTAGTTAGTCATAGCTCACTGAAAGGAATCAATTTTTTTTGCTTAGTAAATCATTTGCAAACAGAGTCACTATTAGCAAATATGTTGATAATCTGTTAAGTCATTCCAGGTGAAACCTCCACTAGGAGGTTCTTCTCCTTTATTTACCCACTAAATCACTCCAATGGGAGTATGTTTTTTTGTTTGAGCCTTTTGTTGCAACTGTAGATTGTCAGAATCAAATATTTCAAAAAAATCATTTGAAGACCAGTGTATGTATATGCTTTAGTAACAAGTTTCCGGCTGATATAAAAAATTTGCCCATTGTGAGGTTTTAACAAATAAAAATGGCTGGCAAAAGGTGTTCCACATATATAGACATGGCTTCAAGGACCGACGTAGAGTTGTTAAAACCACTACATATTAAATTAAGTCCAATTCAATGAAATCAATATTACAATTAATACAGCGGCTATAAAAACCAAAGAAACCCATAGAGAAATTCCTAGGGGCTGCTGACTCGATCTGAAGCCCAGTTATTACGAGGAATAAAAATAAACTAGCTTTTCTTGATAGTCGTCTTCACAAAGTCAAAAAATCATTTAAGGGGCAATATATACGCTTCTGTAACAAGATTCCGGTTGATATACAAAATTTGCCTTTCACGAGGTTTAAAACTATAGTGAAACAAAAACTTTATACTAAAGGTTATTATACAACTTCTGCGTACTTGGATGACAAAAATCCGTGGTAGTAACCCGTTTAGCTTATGGAGGTAGTCTCGATCTCTGATGTTTCAAATAAAAAGAATATATATTGTAAATGTTGAATGTGTACAAATGTTACTTACAAAGAGCAACCCCTAGAGTTTCTTGCTCATTCTTCTCAGGGGAATCTGCCTTACGAATGAGTGGTAGAGTTTAACCATTGTGACGATTTCAAGTGTAATAATGCTTACTTATGAAATAAAAATTATTTTGAATTTGAATTTGAAAGTTGGAGGAGCAATAGCTCTAGTTTGGCATATCGACGATGGTTCGAACCCTGTCAGATTGAAACAATATTTCTTTTGGGTTCGATCTTTATATCAATAATTATAACCAACTAATCGAGTAATTTCGCATAAATAAATTTATATCACGATATTAAAACCTGTTGATATTCAATAAAATTAATAAGAAAACTCGACTCGACTTTTGTTTTATAGTACCAAGTGACGGGATGAGTAAGTCTTTTTTTTTTCTTTTTTTTTATACATGACAGGCAAATGACTCCACTCCACCTGATGTTAAGTGGAAAGTGGTATCCAAACGTGAAGGAACCTAGTGCAGCGATGAAACCCTCACTGCACTAGCCACCTCCACCCTGCCTGCCTACAGTATGCCTCTTCACGCCTCGTTTGAAGGACCCCATATCATAAGAGGGAGGGAAGACATGTGCCGGAAGGGAGTTCCATTTGTCAACCGTGCGGCAGAGAAAGGAGCCACCAAACCTTTTAGTACGCGATGGAATGCGGCAGGTAGTGAAACGGTGACTACGAAGGCCAGCACGCGTGCTTCTGAGCAGGAACGGGGAAGGGGGGATGAGGTTGAACAGCTCTTCAGAGCACTCACCATGGTACATGCGGTAAAAGGCGCTAAGCGATGCAACATCTCTACGCAGTTGCAGAGGTTCAAGGCGTGATGAGACCTCTTCGTCGCCTATAATTCGAGTAGCACGACGCTGTAATTTATCCAAGGCATCGAGTAGGTACCTGGCGGAGCCGTCCCACAAGTGCGAACAATACTCAACGCAAGACCGGACCTGTGTACAGCAGGCATAACTGTTCCGGCGTGAAAAATCGTCGCACCTTGTTCAGGACTCCGAGTTTCCGTGAGGCTGTTTTGATCACAGATTCGATGTAGCTCCTTGGATTCAAATCACAGCAGATTTCCATACCGAGCAAGGTAAAACTGCTCTGAGGTGAGAGTGCTGTGCTCATCAGAGAAGGCATGGGAAGGAACGGCGACAATTTTGTTGTTAACGCGCAAATCTGTGTTTTCTTGGCGTTGAACTCAACAAGATTTCTAGATCCCCATGCAGAGATGAGGTCCAATATCCTATTGAGCTCACCGACAAGATTAGATCGCTCTCTGTCAGTATCGGCGCGCCCAGCTGCGGGGAATCCGTGATATCCCCCATGAACAGTGCTATCATCTGCATAACAATGAATATTCCCAAGTGGAAGCATATCATTGATATGCAGAAGGAAAACCGTGGGAGATAGGACGGATCCCTGCGGTACGCCGGCGTTCACATTCACGAACCTCGAAATGCTGCCGTCAGAAACGACGCGAATTCTCCGCTCACGAAGGAAATCGGCAATCCAGCTGCATAACTGGGCTGGCAAACCGTACGCCGGGAGCTTGGAGAGAAGAGCTTTGTGCCAGACCCGATCGAACGCTTTGGCTATATCGAGGCTAACAGCCAACGACTCGCCACGTTTGTCTATAGCCTCACCCCAAATATGCGATAAGTACGCTAGAAGGTCACCCGTTGATCGTTTCGGACGAAACCCAT